ATTTAATTAACTTTTTATAAATAAAACGAATTGATCTTCTTCTCAATTGTATATCACAAAATCTTGCACTACCATCACATTATAAGTTTTTGTTTGACAAAGTGACCAACAGTTTAAGGAAAAAACAGCCATGAATTTACTATACAATGTTTTTATTATTACACTATTTATAGATCTAAATCCTCCAAAATTGTATATGAAGAAATTAGGGAGAATGATAGAAAAATGATTCTTAAATTTTAAAATTCCTAAATAGTTATGTAAATAAGTAAAATTCTAGTTTAGGTATCAGTGACCAAGGTGAAATTTGCAAATTTGCTAAAATGACCATGTTGACCTTTCTTTTCTTAAAAAGCCACCAAGTACCCTTACCGGCCGGCCGAACATTAGAGCTCCAGTGCAGTGGCTGCCAAAGTTCTGGTGGTTGATCGTCCTGTAACTTCTTTTTTTTTTGGGAATTTTTACAACTTCAGCAACATGGTTAACAAATTCTTTAACGCTATTAACAACTTTGGTATAGTAGTTAATAATAGATTTTTCTAAAAATTTAAAAAGTAGTATTTTTACAACTCTAATAACATAGTTAACAAGTTCTGTAACGCTATTAATAAGTTCAATATAGCAATTAATAACAGGTTTTGTAGGAAATTCAAAAAGTGACATTTTTATAACTTTAATAACCTGAGTAACAAGTCATTTAATGATATTAACAACTCTCATAATATCATTAACAACTTTAATAATCATGTAATGATATTAACAACTCTTATAACCATAGTTACTGTCTAATAAATAGAAAGCTTTTGATGCGCAACCTTCATAGGGACTAATTTTAAAAACATCAACCTTCATAGGAAAATTTTGTTAATAGCACTATGAGAGTCATAAATATCATTACATGACTTATTAATTACATTACTAAAGTTAAAGAAATTCATCTTTTTGAATTTTTAGAAACATGTTGTTAACTGTTATATTAAACTTATTAATAGCATTATAGAAGTTGTTAACTGCGTTACAAAAGTCACAAAAATGTCATTTTTTGAATTTTATGAAAAACCTATAGTTAATTGCTATACCGAACTTATTAATAGCGTTAAAAATTTTTTTAACTACATTATTAAAGTTGTAAAAGTTTCCAACAAAATAGTTGCCAAATGACCGCCCGCTAGAGCTTTGATGATGGCAGCCCACCTAAACTCTGGCAGTCGCTGCTGTCACCAAAGCTCCACCACCTGACCAGCCGATGGGGGTGTTTAGTATTTTTTTTTTAAATGGAAATATAGTCATTTTACCAAATTTGTAAATCCCAATTTAGTCACTTGTACCTAAACTAAAATTTTGCTTATTTAAGTGATCATTTAGAGATTTTGAAATTTAAAAATTATTTTTCTATCATTCTTCCAAGAAATGAAGACAAACACCACTTCTTTAATAATTAGATTTTATTTTTGAATTTAAATGGCATTTGAATAATCCGAGATGTAAATAATATTATCTCTTCTGATTAATTACAAATACAAGTTTTAATTAGGAAAAATGACATAAAAAGAAGTAAAAAATTGTAATATTCCAATTTAGTCATATAAGAATTCAAAATCTCAAAGGAGGAAGTAGTTCTTGATATGATATTTTGAAAATGTGGTCCAATGACTCAAATGCCTTTGTATCAAATTTAGAAAAAAAAAAAAGCTATCAAATCTACCATTACCAGTACATTTCTTGTCATTAATTGTTTAACACTTGTTATTGTCAATTCACAACTTATTAATGAATAACTTGTCATTAGTAGTACATTTCTTATCATTTGTTGTTCAACACTTATTATTGCTAATTCAAACCTTTTTAATAAACTTTTTTGATACAGAGGCATTTTTGTCATTTAACTACATTTTCAAAATATCTAATTGTGCATCACCTCCTTCTCTGAGATTTTGAAGTTTTAAGTATCTTAATTGAAATATTGTTATTTTTAACTGAGAAATTCTTGTATACTCCCAGCATACCACGTCACTTGAGCCTCACTATTTTTACTCTATTTTCAGTTTTCTACCTCTCTATTTTTACAAATTTACTTTTCTACCCACCTCCCTCTTTCTCTCTCTTTCCGTAAAACTATAGAAGCAGGAGCTTCAAGTCCCTGCTTCCCCTTCTTCTGCCAACCTCTTTTCTCAGGATTTCCTTCTCAAGGTTTGCTAATCCATGGATCGTTTATCAGTGCCCCTCTTCATCAATGAAGCTCCACCTTGAAACTTTCTCACCGTCGATTACCATAGGTATTAGCCGTTGGCGATGCCGCCCATTGCATAGGTAACTTCATCAGTCTTGCGATTCCCTTCTCTTTCTCTCCTCTCTTCCTCAAACTGTGGGTTTCATCTAATTCAACCTAAATCGAACCCATCCCTAAATAATCCCAGGAAGTATGCTATGAAAGCAATGGTTGTGGGTCTTTGATGTAGGCGACAATTGTGTTTGGTAAATTAAAAGTGCTTGAAGCTGGCGCACTTGGTTAGAAAAGCTATGATTTTTGTTCATGATTTTGGCTTCTTCTTTGGTCTACCAAGTCATGCGGCCGATTAGGAGACCTTGATTATTTGTTGTAGCTTTCGACTTAATCTTAGTCCTGTAACTTTGCAGTCAAGAGATTGGCGATGTTGCTTTTACGGGAAGAGAGGGAAAGAGAGATGGGGAGGAAAGTGAATTTGTAAAAATGAAGAGGTGAAAAACTGGAAATAGCAAGAAGATAGGAATGACACCTAAGATTAAAAGTTGCTCACGTGTTAGGTTTTTATTAGTCAGAGCACAAATGACTTGGTATGCTGAGCGTATATAAGAATTTCTCATTTTCAACTTCTTTTTATATCAGCTTTCCTTTTAATTACTGTGAAATTATTAGAATTTATAATTATTTAGTAGTTTCAAAGTATTTAATATTTGAATAAGCATACTTGTTATAATCTAATTTCATAATGAGAAAAGTACCTGTTTAGAAAAAATTTAATTTATATCTTATAATTAAACATATACAGGAAGATGGGAATGAAATTCAACCTGAAAGATAGGGTTGGATTGATTTGACATCTAAATACTTATTGATTTTAGGAAAAATCATAAATAAAAATTGCGGAATTAGAAAAATTACACACAAGAACCAGTTCACAAAAATTGATATCAAAACTCATATTATTGTCATCAAAATTCATACTAACATTGTTATGGGTTTCACTTTATGATTTTTCTAATTCCATAGTCTTTATTTGTGATTTTCCCTTGATTTTACAATGAGATGAGAAGTTCGAGTTGAAATTACTATAAAAGAAAAAAAATTACCGGTTCTATAAAGCGAATGATTTTTTTTTTTGCCAGAATAAAAGAATGATTAGAATTTATAATTATTTAATAGGGATAATTAATTTTTGGGTTCTTATAGTTTCATATGATTTTTAATCAGGTCCATATAAAATTTTTTCTTTTTATTATATTCTTTTACTTTCATGTATTTTTAATTAGACCCCTCTAGTTTTTTATCAGGTCTTTATAGTTTCACTTGTTTTTTAATTAGGTCATATGTAGTTTTAAAAAAAATTATTTTTTAACTTTATTCTTTAAACTTAATTTTATTTTTAAATTAATAATTATATCATTGGACAAAATAATTAATATAATCATCTAGTAATTAATAATTAACCAGAATAATTAATCATACTTGACTATAAATTATTTATAATTATATTCTAAGCTTAGAAAATTTTATTATTATAATTTGAATTTTATAGTTATAAAAATTAGACCTGAAAAATAAATATTATATATGTTTAACTAAAAATTTAAAAGAATATTAACATAAGATTATTATTATAATAATTTATTATTTATAGAATAAAGAATAAAAACTACAAGGATCTAATTAAAAATAAGATAAAATAATAAGGACCTAATAAAAAGAAAAAATTAATAGTACCTGATTAAAAACATGTGAAATTACAAAGACCTGATAAAAAGAAAAAAATTATAGGGATATGATTAAAAACCAGTTAAAATTATAAGGACTTACATATTAATTATTCCTATTTAATATTTGATTTATTTAGTATTTCAATCATTTATCCCGTTATAATCTAACCTCACAATTCAGGGGAGGGATAGCACAGCACATTAACATTTTTTTGTGGGTTATATTTGGTTCTTTAAGTTTGTTCTAATTTTGGTTTTAGTCCCCTTAAGTTTCAAAGCATATGATTTAGGCTCACAAGAAGTAAAAAAGTCTAGTTTTTATTGAATTATATAAATTAATATTTAAAATGAAAAGAAATTTGAGGGATCAAAACCAAAATAAGAGTAAATAAGGACAAAAAATTATATTAACCTTTTTTTAAATTTACATCTTAATTATAAGCAATTCGATTCTACTACCAGATTACTTGAACTACTTCAAAAATATATAACAATTTTAACTCCAACCTGAACAATATAATTGGATGTTTTAAGATAATTAGAAATACGCGGTTCTTAAAAATAAAAAAATTAATTAGGTTCCTCTATAATAAATTAATGATTATTAGTTGTGGTACGTCGGAATCAATCCACACATCAATTGTCAAACCTAACTTTCGCCACTGATTTATGAACTTTAGAATTGCAATAATCACCCCCAAACCAAAACCTATTTTTATTTTTTAAAAAATAATTTACAGATTGTTTTATTATTTAAATTAAATTAACAATCCTTTTTAGCCTTTTACCAGACATAATAGGCTTTCGCCATCAGTTATTTCAATGGCCTAGACGATAATTTGAAGTCTAAATTACCCATATGATCAATGATCAAATAAGAATTGGATTTCGGCCGATCTGTTTCCTCTAGTAATTTGAATAAAAATAGCCGTTAAGTTGATGGTAAATTTTGAGAAGTCGGTCTTTCAAAAATTTTAACGTTGGGACTCGGAAATATATACGTTCGGCTCTTATTTTACTCAACTGTGCCATTGAGTATGCTACAGGTGCCACAGCCACAGCTGCTTCGCCTCCGCCGGCCAAGAAGGATGCCGGAACTGGTGGTGGGGAAATAGTTAATGCGTTCGCTGGCAAGGTTGTCAACAGGAAGGTTGCCGTTGATCTTGATTGCGTTTTAGAGCCATTCGAATCGATTGGCGTTGGAGGGGACTCAGCTTCTGGGTGAGAAATATTTCTATATGAACGAAACTGAAGGGCTCCAGATTTCGCCTCTTATTAACGTAAGTCTTGTGTCACATTCTATTTGTATATTGAGTTTCCTGGTTACTGTTTTTCTAGTTCTGTAATTTGAGTTGGGAACAAAGTTTAATCAATTACATCGTGAAGCTATAAGCTTTTAGTGTTTCATAGATCCGAGTGTATTTTTTCTCCCACAGGAAATTGACCCAAGTGCGTGTACCCTTTTCTTTAAATGTGCTCTGAAGCTACATAATAGAGTAGTTGGAAAACCACATTGTTCAAAGGTTTTGTTGTAGGTTCATGGCATGATTTATAAGGATCGTGGTTAAAAATACTGTGATAATTGAAATCGAAGTCTATTTATCTTCGCCTTCTATATCAGTTAACGTCCACTAAGCTTTGGCTTTTGTTTGAAGATGTGATTCTACAGTTCTGTTTACCTGCTCCTATCTCTTCTTGTTTTGTCTAGCATTTTACACCTCCTGGATATAGGTCTTGCTTGATATTTGATATTTCTTTTGTCCTTTGAGGAGCCTATTGACGACAAGAGTGAAACTAGTAAGAAACCATATACCAATTTATATTTGTCAAAACATTAGTCATTGTCATGTTACTTTGTTAAGGTGCTTTTACGTAGCTTTGCATTTCGTTGAAATTAAGTATTTGTTGCCCATTCATAGTGAAGCTCCTGCTTTTGTTGAGAGCGACGGATCCTTCTTATAGGAATCAGGGTATTTTATCTTCTCCTTCTCACATTCATTTTCGTCTGCTTGTTGGAATAAATTTTGATTGTTTACTTCATAGTCACTCTTCTTGTTGTCTAAGTGTGGGGTATAAAAAGAACGGTTCTATTGTTCCCAACAGTATTCCCCCCCCCCCCAAGAGTTCTCCTGTATGCAACCTAAAGTTTGCAAAACTTGATAAATGAGCTTGCTATTTGGATATCAATGTTTTGTGAGATCTTCCACAAACTAAATGAGATAGTTTATTTGTTGCTGATTAAGGTATTGACTTACAATTTGAATTGAAGAATTTTCAAGACTAAAAATAGTCTATTTTTATTCCTTCAAATATTCCTATGGTTGATGTTGAAGAACCATTAGATAGGTACTTTGATGTTGGCCTCAAGAACTTTGTTTTTTTGAATTAGAATGGCATTTTTGGTGGTAGGATCTGTTTGAGATACTTTAGTTAAAGTGATCCCATAGTTTTTCTGGGTCTTGGAAAGGTATGCATAAGAAAAATTAAATTAAATTATGAGGCAAGATGTCAAAGACAGTCAAACAGTTTTAGTTGGGAAAAAAAAAAAATGCAGGCTTAATTAGGAAGCATGATAGTGATACTATATATTTGGTTCTAATATGATACTCTTTCTAGTATATAGGATGTGCTTGAACTCGGACCAAAACAAGCTTTCTTAAAGAAGCTGAGGTTGCTTATGCAACATACTAGAGGATGTGCTTGTTCCATTTGGTTGTAATTGTTTCGTTTGAACGTCATTAAGAAACAAGCTAAACTTGATTATGTAGCATATATAGTAAGGAGATAGATCTGTCTATTCCGTTAAACTAAAAATCAAGAAATGTACTTGAGACTTTTTATCCCATCACTGAATGTGCATTAATTGCTCTATTTAGTCATGTGGCAGTAGTTATTTAAAATCCTGTAATTGCATAATAACGTATACACTAAGATTATGTATTGTTCATTTAGACTAAGATTGAATTCATATTGTTGTAGGTAAGTCACTTTGTGGTGGTGATGTTGTTAAATTTAGAGATGGATTAGAGTAGTTTCATGGGTTTGAATCTTTCAGTTCCTTGCTGTCCAAAACTGATTTCAGTCAAGGAAAAGATGATCAAAGTTAGATCAAAACTTAAATATATAGAAAGACAAGTGATTCGAGTAATCATAACAAGAGAATGAAAATCACAATTTTTATAAATTTAAGGTCAAAAATGGTTTCCTCGTGAAAAAGTATGTAGAATAGGCATGTTAGAATAATTTTTAAACAAGCGGTTGTAGAAGCCAAAAATTAAAGAGACTAAGCTTAGGGGAGGTTTATTTTAAGTTATCTTGCAACCTTGATGTCTAGTTATTGATGTGTTACTATTATGTAATACTAGGCTTTGATATTTGTCATGGGAGACTTCATGACCAAGAGAAAAGAAATCAAGAGCTAGCTTTAGCTTTGTTTTGGTTGAATGCTAAGTTGAGGTATTAAATTTAGAAAAATTCTAGAAGTAGCAATTGAATAATAAGGTTGCCCGTGGAATTGTAAGGTTTTGAGAAAGAGCTTTGATTTGGAACTAGAACAATGCTCTACTGATTTTTCAAGGTTCACTATCTTCTTTGGTGTATAGTACCACAAAACAATTTAAAAAGTTTAAAATTTTTGGTTCCTCTGACAACTCTAATGTCGGTCTAGATTTCAAGCTCTCTCAATGTTCATTTTGTCTTCAATATTTTCCAATTCATGATCACCTGATCATTAGTATCAGGAAATCACACAGAGTTATTAATTTGTTCTATAGTATTTTCCATTTTTTCTACCATAACTTAGCAAAATCATGTAAAAGCATACACATCCAATTGAGTTGATCTACTTCTTCTTTTAAATCTCAAGATGTGTATTAACCACTCATAGAATTTCATGGGAACATTCAAACATTTACTTTGAATTTACCTTGTCCTAGTTTTGAACCTTTATGTGGGAATATCCCAACATACTACTCTTATCATCACATATGTGTTTACGTATTATAAATATTATATATAATTACGTCTTATCATCTTGTTGGATTTAACTTCAGCATGACAAGAGAATTGATACAATGCTCAGTAACATAAACAAGTCTTTAATTCTCCATATCAATTTCATTGCTTTAACTCATGCATTCCTCTCTTCATGCTCATCATAGTAATATTATACTCCTCCGGTCCTTAATATAGGACCCAATTATTGAGTTGGTTTTGGTCCTAAATATAAGACCCATTTCTCATATTTATCAAATTTCTTTAAATTACTCCTATGGATACTTCCTCAACCATAATCAAGTATAATAAAAAGAAGGGGTATTTTAGAAAAAACGTGTCACATTTCTTATAATTAACTAACTTACCTAACTTCTTTAATTTAATCAAATTAGTTAAATGGGTTTTATATTAAGGACTGAAAGAGTAGTTAGGTATTATAGGCTAAGATTCGAGTGATGGAGTCTGGGATATAAAATAAATAGGATTTAATTAGATATCTAGAATATCCATTGGGGATTTGAATAAAGATATGTATCCATTAGAATTAGGATTTATTACATTAATTGTCTTTTAATATTTTGTAATTATCTTTATTATCTTTTATTATAATTAGGATCTGATTTATGAATTTATTATTATTGTATATTTCTACAAATCTTTGATAATTGAATAAGAATTGATATTTCATAATACCTACTATAGTTAGGTATTAAATGGTGAGATTCAGGTGATGGAGTGAGATTTGGGTGATGGAGTATGGGATATGAAATAATTAAGATTTCATTAGATATCTAAAGTATCCATTTGGGATTTGAATAAGGATATGTATCCATTAGAGTTAGAATTTATTACATTAATTGCTTTTTAGTATTTGTAATCATCTTTATTGTTGATTATAATTAGGATTTGATTTAGGATTTTATTATTATTGTATATCTCTAAAAGCTTTATAAAAAGGGGTTAGGGTTTTCATTTGTATTCAGCTTTGATAATTGAATAAGAACTAATATCTCCTAGCCTTTTCTTCTCTTTGTCTTTCCTTCTGTCTTCGCCCTTATTTCCTTCTCCATTCTCTCTTCTGTTAAATCCTCCTATTTTTCTCGTCTTATATCAATTGGCATCAGAGTCTAGTTCCTACTCCTACTTCATGCTCAAGATCTATTTTAAGAACCATTGCCTAGTCTTGGGGAGAAATTTTTCTTATTTATTTTGGCATTCTTGGTTGCTTTATTGATATTTATTTATAGTATCTAGTTTCTTTGTAATTTTAGTTAAAAAAATTGAGAAAAGGAGAAAAACAGAAAAAGAAGAAGAAAAGAGTAGAAAAAGAATAGAGGAACTTGTTATAGGTATGAGTCATGGATGAAGCATGGTTGCATGCCATATACAAGTACTCCCAAACAAACAATAATATGAGAGTGCCAGTCATCAATGATATGTGCATGAGTATGTGAATTATGATCAATGCGAATATGATGATCAATTCACAAATCATATCTACAACTTTACTGTTTGCCAAGTAACCATCCAATTAGAGATAAATGGCCAAAAGCTTGAAAATTTTGACTTTGGAAAATGTTGTTCACGGGTTACTATTCACAGCAACCTATAAATTGGCTAAACTTTAAAATTCATAACTAATTTAAAAAAAAAAATTGAATGATTCCAAGTTCTATTGGAAGCTCTTTGGATTATCATTTGGAGAAAAATAAGCTCTGAACAAATTGTCTCAAAATTCAAGCTCAGTTTTAATTTTAAAAAGTATTGTTTATTTGATCATTTTTTTTAATTTTTTCAATATTTTTGCCTAACTTTGGATAGGCATTCTCATCTAGAAATGAATCCATAAAATCTTATGTTAGTCAAAGAGGAATATGCTGCCCTCCTTAAACAAGGTTTTATTGAGCCAACAAAATTTGATTAGCTTGTCAAGCATTCTATATTGAAAAAAGATTAGAAATCAAAAGAGGAAAGTGAAGTTTAACTGCCCTTAATTGTCGCTTTGGGGTTACTCCAAAAATTAACCGAATTAATGCAATATAGTGTACAATCCGGGTCGTATTCACTTTGAGGAGCCGAAAACAAAATTAAATCCTAGTAAATAAATGCAAGTAACCTAAATTATAAAAAGGATTTTTGATTTGAGAATTTCTAATTAAACACCATGAATTAAATTGAAATTAAAATACTTTTTTTTTGTTTTTATGTAAAAATGATTAAAATGAATGA